CTTTATTGGATGTTGCAAATTGGAGCCTAGCATTATCACACTAGTATCGGTTAATTTTTTCCGTAGTGCTGATCGCATGGAAGAGAAGAAAAAGTAAAGTATAACTGGAGAAAAAGAAGAAATTAAAAAGAAAAAAACCATAAAATGCTACTAATTGCCATGTTGGCAATTTGACCATTTAGACTATGACATGAAGTTAGACAATTTAAAATACCTTATTTACGAAAAAAATTAAAAGTACACTATTTTGAGAATTAAGATTGTAATGTATCCTGTTACAAGAAAAAAAAAAACTCTAATTTTTTTATCAGAGAAGATTTTTTGAGACTTGAATTTAAAATTTTAAAATGATATAAAGGACAGTTGACTCATGAGAGGATTAAACATTAATTATTGTGATAATAATAAGCCTTAAGTACACTAGAAAATAGGACAAATGTGGCTTTGGTTCTGTCCCATGGTAGTGGATTAATTACACCACTCCCACCCCAGGTGGCCTAAACCTAACCCATTTTTTTCATGCATTCCTAGAAGGCAATGACTCTGAAGAACCAAGAAAAACAAGAAATGCAATAATTAAATCCTAGCCAGTCAATAGTGGTAGTAATACTTTTTGGTTAAAAAAATATATTACTACTAATATTATATGTTGAAAGAATTAATAGAAAGACAAATTAACCAAGTGCTATTGCTGTCACTTTGTCTGCTATGCTGATTCCTTTTTTAAGCGTTGGAGTTAAATCAAATTTTATATTTTTATTTTAGTTGTTTATTTATTTAAAAGTTATTTTATTGATAAATTTTTTAAGATTTAAAGTTCTAGTATAAAAATATTATTTTTTTTATGATTTTAAGAGGTTAAAAAGAAAAAAAATAGTTTGCGAGGCTAAAAGAAATGGGGTGCAGTTTTATATAAGATTTTGAATGTAATTTAGAAAATATATGTGTAACTCAATTTAAAAAATAAAAAAATTTGTGTGATTGGTTCCATTAAATTATTAATTGAGTGTACTAGTTGACAGTTTGTCAAATTAATAAAATTATTCTTGCGTGATGTTTTCAGTGTTTTTAATTATTTTTTTAATGATTTTTATGTGCAGGAATTTTGCTAGCTATATGGAAAGAAATGTTATGTATTCATTTCAATCATTTCATGCATGATACTTAATGACTAGTATATACGCAATATTCTTACTTCATTCAGCTTTGACCTTTGAGTGAAGAATTCTACAGCGCAGCGCATGAAAATTTTATTGTTTCAGCAATGAAATAATCTACTGATCCTTGGAACTAGTGGATGCCTGCGTAGCTAGTACTAGGAGATTTCGTGTTTCAGAATTTGGAGTTCTCGTTGATGGCACCACCCAGCAAAAGAAAGTAAATAGGACTTATTATTTGTAGGATTTTTGTCGAGATCCTTATCCCTCAAATGAGGCAAAGTCATACATGCTAGCTGGTTAATCTTAAACCCCTATGACTTGTTCAATGAATCAAGATATGTTTCTCACACATGCTTAATCTTAATTGCTCATCTATACATTATTAATATATTTGCTCCTGCATGCTATCCATGGACCGGGTTGCTGTTAGGCCTGCAGGCTGAGCCCGACCAGAGTTAAGCCTCACATAAAGATTTTAAATTGGACTCAGTCTAAATTATTATTTTATTAATAAAAATATATTTATTTAAATTTAATTCTTAAACATTTATTAAAATATTAATATAAAATAGTATTTTAATATTTGTTAATAATAATCTAGTATATTCTGGTCATTATGGCATACCAAGTCAGGCCTTAGGTAAAGATTTGAAGATACCAACCGGACTTCACCCAATCTATAAACACCTCTATGCATATATCAAATTGTCAACTTTTTTCCACTGAAAAATATAAAATAAAATAACCCTTTGTTGGAAGAGAGTAAATAATGTATGTTTATTTAGAAATCCTGCTGCAGTAATGAAGCTGCGCCCAACCTGGCAAATTTCTTAAGCAGGCATTTCTAGGAGGTTAAGGAGTACTGATCCACTTGCAACGCCAACGCCTGGTGCAGATTCCTGCCTGCCTCTAAATAAATGCTTTCATGTGTCCGCATTGGTGTAATCTTCATCAATGTGGGACAAATTCTGTGAGGATAAGTTTTACACATTTAATATTAGAGGAATGTTACTTGGAAATTAATGTAAATGCTCGCACTCGCATTGCAGACAACAAATTTTCTTTTCCCATTTCTATGTCTAATTGAAGATATACCCTTTTATAGTAATACTATGTCTATTTTTCAGGTTATAGATGTCCTTCATATATATATTACACGATCAAATCTAATGTTGAAAAGCTAATTTGTATATATCTTTGAGTCCTGCCGCATACTGACAATTAACAATAAAGAGTTTGTAATTGAATTTACCATATATATTACTTAAAAAAAAAAAAAAAACCCTTCTTTTTTATTTGGGGAAGAGATTTGAAAATCTACTCTTTGAGCAGAGATCATAAGCAAATCACTTAGCCAAAGATTGGATCATACACCTACCACTGAGCCAACGTGCAAAGAAACCTTCAATTTTGATGGAACAGTAAATCGTTTTAACAGCTTTTGCAATTACCCTCTCTCCCTCTTTGATCAACGCTGTCAACTTATCAACTATAAGTCCATTAGATACAAGCCAACGAGTCAAAGAACAAGAAGCAGACTTTTAAGGTACGTCGATTGGACAAAATAAAATATATGCAGCATTTATTCAGAAACATACCGTATTCTTTTTGGTCATCAAAAAACACAAGCCTCAACGTTTCACACCTTACTTACGTGGGAAAGTTACTTGATTTATTTCATTCCTTTAATCTCTTTCTTGTGAAGATTATGGATCGACAACACAGCCAGGAGCCAGCCAAAATCACCAATCGTGAAAATGAAGGTCAGGGTTTGTGGTTTTCTCTTAATTTTCTCGTCCACTTTTGTGTTCCATATCTTGTTCTATTATCAATGATATGGGATTTTTCTTTCTTCTTTTGGCTAGGTTAGTATAACACAAGTTTCTAAAATTGTTTTTGTTGTTGTTGTTCAGGGTAGAGGTTCGTAGTATCGAGTGGGAATTTATTAAAATGACTGAATAGGAAGAAGATCTCATCTGCAGAATGCACAGGCTTGTTGGAGACAGGTGAGCTGACATGAAAACTTGCCTTAAATTCATCGTGCCTAATCAATGTTAATGCCTAGATTTTATAAGTAGACATGGCACTTGGAGTATTCAATTCTTGTAGTGTTTTATATGAAAAATGTATGTCACAATTTATATAATATAAAAAAATATGGAATATAATTTTTTATTTTTTAAATTTATATGATTTTTGTTAAAATTTTAATTCATATTACTTTTTTTTATCATTTTTGGAGTCATATTTTAAATTGCCTCATCTATTAATAAGTATTTGATAGTTAAGGCCTTAGGTAGTTATTTTAAGTTATGGATTGATCAAGAAATAGCAGTAATATTGATATCTAAAGGTACATTGCCCCATTTGATTTAAACACGAATATGAGAAAAATGAGTATGCTTTCTTGACTATATGATTAAACAATAACCAAATGTTCTTTGATTAATATACTATTTACTATTAAGAAAGTATCTACACAAATTTTGATTTTATCCTAATAGCTTTATTTGTATATTTATTTATTTTGCCTTTTCAATTATATATCCTCTTTGATTTGGTTGATAAGGAATGGTGTTCACATTGGTGATGATAAAAAAAAATCTAATCTACAGGATTCATGTTTTCAGGTGAGGTTTGATAGCTGGGAGGATTCCAGGGCAGAAAGAAGAGGATTCGCCCAGAGAAGAAAAGAGAACAATGGAAAAGAGTCCTAGAAAAGTTTGGCCTTTTGCCTTTAATGGCCCTAAGGAGCTTCTGTGAATATTCTTCATTTTTTTCCCTGCATCTTGTGCGCCAGATTTGAAATTACTTATCTCTCTTTCTCTTCTTGCTCTTGTTCTATACAGCCTTTCATCATTACCCTACATTCTGAATAGCACAAGGCAGGAAGGCAGGCAGGTAAATTTTTCTATGAAAACACTTCAAGTATTGTCTCGTCTAAACCTATTCAAGGGCCTGCTCAAGAGTAAGCCTATTTGTTCAAATTCAAAGATTTATATAAATTTTGAAAAGATTTGAACAAAAAATTAAAATATCTTAAATAGGCTTCAATATAATAGGCCAAGTAGGGCTTTGGTCAAAAGATTTATAATTTTAAGTCGTTCGGTTTAAATTTACATATATATATAAATTTTTTATTTTAATATAAACATAAATTATATATAAATTAATTCATATATATATATAAAATATATTTTATTATTTTTAATTTTTACAAATATAATTTTAATTTTTATATATATGTGAATTAAGTATAATTTTATTAAACTCTTAATCACATTTTTTTAAAAATTTTTTATTATATAAATTAAATTTAATGGGTGGATTTAAAATTTATTTTTTTAATTTAAGTCGAATTTAAAAAAATTTTGAGACTAAAAATACTGAACTAGACTTAAATAAACATATAAATTATTAATACAAAATATAAATTTAACCCAGCCCATAAACAATCTCTATTCTCATCCATGTTTGGTTTCTAAATAAAATGAAACTCCATTTATCGCCTATGCCATGTAAAGTATATATTTATATATACAAGAGAGACCGACTTACGTTAAAAAAAATTATACTTTTTTAATTTTTTATTTTAATAGATAAAACGATGAGATTAAGTCTCTTTTTTCATCTTTTTCATTTACCTCATTTCTTACATTTATTAAAATTAATTAGTAAAAAAATAAAATTTTTTAATTTTAAACTGATGTAAGGATATATATATATATATATATAAACAGATCAGCTGGTGTAGAATTGGTAGATGTAGCAATGATAATGAATGATTCAATGCGATCTAAGAAACGTATAATCAAATTATTATGAGGGAGAGAAAACTATAAAATGTAGCTTATATCTGGTAATTTACTATCTTTTGAGTATTTGAATTTATATATTACATATGGTATGGAAATTCTATGCTCATGTAGTTAAATGACTATGATACAGATCATTAGAATACAGAAACGAGATGGGCATGAGCGAATTATAAGGAGATTGGGGGAATCGTATAGATGAAGCCAAGGATTTTAATACGTTCAGACGACGTATCGGCGAAGATAATCCACTCGGGCTGGATGCTTGAGCTTCATTAGCGCCTTTACTTCATGCTTCCGAACCATTTCTCTTGAAATATTCAAGTTCCCAGCAATTTCTCCTAAAGTTCTATCGCCCTTACCATCTAGTCCATATCTCTGCCTGATCACCAGGCTCTCCTTGGGCTTCAGAGAATCAAGCTGAAAGACAGTTTTTAGTTACGGGCAGTGAGCATGTATTTTTTCAAAATGCGAAAAAAATAGCAAAACACTGGTCAAGTAACTTGACGAGTATTAACCTACAGCTCGTCCAATGTAAGCATTGCTACTAATTAGCCAGAATTTAGCATTAGAAGAAACAATCTTAATTTTGCTAAAGAAGAAAAATAATCATATAGGAGTATCATTTCTAGAAAGACCTAAGATAAAGGTTTCTTCCAGTGACAATAAAATGAGAAAATGCCAGTTCAGAGAGAATGGATGCTTACCACATCATCAATTGCAAGCCTGAGAAGAGCAGGTTGTCTTCGGTGATCACCTCCAACACCATCGACATCAGTGATTCCATTAATGAACTCCTCTTGTGTGACTGAATGCCTTGAATGAAGAGAGCCAACAGGTTTTGAGGCCCTCATTACTTCTTGGTACCTCTCAGGGGAGATCCCAACTTTCTTAATTATTTCTTCCTCTGTTGGTTTTCTATGAAGTTCAAACAATAATTCAAGTTTGGCTCTTTGGATTTCTACTCTAACCTGCATAAATAAACAGGTAAATAATTATAGTGTATCTACAAAAAGAAGCGGCCATGGCTTTTATTGCTCAGCCTATCAGGCAAAAGTCTTCAGCCAAGATTTAGCACGTAATACAGCAATCAAAATATCACTGACATAAATGACGAACAGAATATGCATATTGATCCACCCACCACTTCACTACCTCAGACATTCCAAGCATGAAACTATCATCTGCTTGTAGTTAGCTTCATATATGACTACTGCTCAGTTCCAAAGTGTCAAACTAACTGTCATCATATTAGTTTTCAGCAATGAATTTCACCATAAATAAGAACCACTTGGGGAAAGGCTAATAATCTTCCCTACTTTGGTCCATTCACCAAATCTAAAGGCTGTCAAGTGTCAACGTTGCCACTTGTTTAGAATGACAATTACAAGGATTCATGTAAATCATCATGGCATTTTAAAGATAAGAACAGGAAAACATAGCATGCTTAATTAAGAAGAGAGCATACCGATTCAAGTCCAAATGGGACACGTGTAAAGCTTGATACTGTCATGGAACGTATAATTGCATGCCTAATCCAAAAAAGACTATATGTTGAGAGCCGGAATTTCCTTCTTGGTTCAAAGCGATCAATGGCAGTAATAAGTCCTTTTACTCCAGCCTGGCAAAGGTCCTGAAATCTTGGGCCATTGGCAAAATCTTGAAAATATTTGTTTATCACAAACAAAACAAGCCGGAGATTATGCTGCATCAAATAAAGTAATAACTCTGAGTAGTTATTATTGACAGCCAATGCCAAAATATTGACAATTGCTTTAATCACAAACTAGGCAACAATTTTAAAAATGGGGATATCAAAACATAGCTCTTGAAAAAGTTAAATTTGTTTGTGCCACTGTGGGTTTGGTGTAGAACAGCAGAAAAGAAACCCTCATAAGTTAACTTTGGTTTTAGCTCTTTCGAAAAAATCAGTGTAAAACGAATATCCATGGATATCGGCTTCATATGAAAATTGTAAGATGTGTCCCTTTCAAATAATCAAAAGGAACTTGCTGAACTCTATGGCATATTTATCAAAACTTGGTAAAATGAGGTTTCATCAAAGAAAATTTGACTAAGGAATGTTAGTGGTAGATCAATATCAGTAGAATAAAATTGAATAATGTATATTTTACTAAACCCACTGAAAGCCACCCTACCATTAGGATTCCTTTTTTCTTTTTTAGAAATTAAGACACCAGTATGCATTATTGGTGGTGGAAGAGGAATTACCTTAATGAGCTTATTTCTAGCAGCTCGACCAATCTCTAAATGTTTTGTTACTTGAGCTGCACTCATATTTGTTGCCTTAGCTAATTCATCTTCAGTTGGATATCTACCCAAATCCTTTTGCAAGTTTTCTTTTGCCTGAAGCAGCGTCTGCAGTTTTAACAAAATACTTTAGTGGCAGGAAGGTTTGCTGTCTCCTTTTATTTATTCCATTAAACGGGAAAGGTACATACCTTCATGGGCTGCATTAACTTAAACAACCAAGTATGTTCAGTGGACGGAAGAACTGGAGGTATGCTCATCTTTTTCCAGTCCAGGCTAACCAAAACGGTTGAAGCTGAATAGTCCCTGACAAGCGCGTCAATCTTCTCGCTTTCATTCTCGGTACTTTTTTTCCTCCAAACAGAAGCAACAGGTTTTTCTTCTCTGTTCTTTTTCAGTTCAATCCTTTTATCAAGACTCAATCTTTTAGTCTTCTTAGACTGGTTCCTAACCACGACCTGATTATTATCGTTATCTGCTTTCCCATCACTTTCTTTAGACCTCTTTCTTCTTTGCTGGCGTCCTTTTATCTCCTCTTTTACATCAGATGTTCTAGTTGAAGGGCTAAGCTTGTAAATGTTTTCAAGTTTGGCGGCAGCTTCATTGTAATCCACTTCCAAGGTGCACGGAGAACCTTCATCAGTAAAAACATGATTTACAGTTTTGGAAGCCTTTTTAGATTTTCCCTGTCTCTTCTGGTTCTTCTTAGCTGTTTCTATGGGCAAAAGAATATGCTCTTGAGGCGTAACTAAAGCAGTATTATTGGATTTATCTGCTTTAAATGCAACAATCAAAGGCATTCTCGATGTACATCTTTGAGTCCAAAACTTTGTGCTTAATCCTAGTGGAGTTCGGGCAGCTGCGCTAGAAACGCTGACAACCCCCATACCAAACTGCCTGATCAAATTTTAAGCAATATACAAAAGCTTTCTGGCTGTACAAAAACTGCAACCAAACATGTGCATCAACAACAGTACCGGTGCACGAGAAACACACAAAAGGAAGCAGAAATCAAGAAAATTAAGACCTTAAGGTTAATTGAATGGAGTTTTTTTTCTTGCTAGCACAATGCACAGATTCACCGATTCCACATAATTAAACTGGTTTTCTGACTTAAAAGCATTAGTATTTGTGCACTACAGCAATATGAAACGTTTATCACACAAAAATTTCAATACCAAACTTTAATTAAACTGGTCAATAACATTCTATAAATCAATTTATCTTGATTGATCATCAAAATTCTCTAATTATTGCATCAAATCAATGCACTAAGGTCCCCAGAAGGGTCACTCCTGCTTGATCCTACTTTGACATGGGCAGCTTCAGATCAATGTTAAACCATTGAAAAGAAACATCATGAACAGATGGAAATTAAATAGACAAATTCTAGTACATGTCATAGCAAAGAAATTTAGCAAAATTATCTTGTCTCTATTACATTTCTAGCAGGAACTGACATCATCCATAAGCAATTAACAACGTTAAAACAGTTCCATACAAAGGGAAACATACCTCCGAACAGAGCAAAACCGAGTTGCTGAGTTGACACGGATCGTGGGACTTGAGAACTGGCGCTTTTTCCTTGTTGCCAAAGGCTGCAGAGAATCCTGAACAGTGAACGATTTCTGAGTTATAAATATAAGAACGATAAATACGTAAATTACGGTATCCACAATTATATCCGTCGGAAAAATCAACGGCCAGATAGAGGCAGTTCTCAAATCCAACGGTATATGAAACCGACAAGTAAGATTGAAAGGAAGAGAATGTGAGGGAAGTGATGACGTGGGCACATGGGAAGCAGAAACCGAAAGTGGCGTGGCGATAAAAGAGTTGAAGAGTAGATATTTTTCGGGATTTAATGGATGATGTTTGAGATACGTGGGTGGGTCTTATTGGAAGAAAGATTTCACTTTCAGTTCGCGGACCCAGTACGTGTGGTGCCCTGGGATTCTCGGGGCGTGTCATTACGTTGCCTGATTTTAGCCATTTGAAATTTAGAAAAAATGATAATTATGAAGTTTCAGAGAAAATTGAACGACAATAACACTGTATTAACCCTTGCTACATATTTTGAGTTTATTAAAATTTTTCATTGTTTCTTTTTTTTATTATTATTAAAATAAGTTTATAGATAAAATTATATTTCAAATATTTTATACTGCTTCGTCATAAATGATTCTGTCATTATTAGTTCCCAAATTTCAAATGCTTCAAAGTTAAAGCGTTAATAGATTAGATTAAATTCATATCGGGCCTAAACATAACATCAACATCATATATTAATAATCCACGTTCGACTTGATTTAAAATTTATTTTAGCTTATTTAAGTATTTTGGTATATAAAATTATAATAAGATAAGATAAAATGATATTATAAATAAAATTAAATTAAATAATTTTATTTTATTTTATATTTGAGATATATAAAGATTAAATAAAATAATTTATTTATTTGTTAAAATTATTATTTTTTAAAATTTATATAATTTAAATTATTAATATAATTTTTAAAGATATAATAAGATATATAAGTTTTATTTGATAAATTAAAAATAATTTTTTCTATTTTGAAAATATTAATTATTTTATACTAAAATGATGATAATTCTATTTTTATAATTTTATCACTTTTAATTAGATACAAATCAAATATAATAAAAAATTATCATTATATTATTTTATCCATCATTCTATCAATTAAATATGATCTAAATTAATAGATGATATTACACATGTTGTTTAAATTATTATATTTTAAAAATAAAAATAAAAAATGTTAGTTTTAGTAATTTAATCATTTTTATTAAATTTTAAAAATGAATAGCTTAACATATTTTTTAATGTTTAAACAAAATATTATGTATATTTGTACTTTATATAATATAAATTACATAATATATGTTATATAATTTAAAAAAAAAAAAGAAAAAAGGAATGGTTGAGCTCGAGTTTTAAATGTTAAAGGCAAATCTGTCATTTTCTAAACAGCCCGAGTGGGTAGGGCGGCCACTGGACAAATCTAGATGAGAGTGACATGAGTTTGAGGGAGGAGATCAAGGACAATGTTTTCTCTAACTAAAAAATAAATAAATAAATTGATTGGGTTTTGATCGGAAGTAATTTTGTACTTTCACTTAGTCACATAGACTTTATTTTCACTCTTTCTCATCTATCCATTTTGGATAAATAATGTTTTGTGGGTATGGAAAGGAACATTCATCCTTATCATTTTCTTTCCGCTCTATTTTTTTTTTTTTTATACAAACATCCTTAAAATTATTGTGAAAACAACTTTCTTTAGATTTCCTTTTTAATTTTTTCACTAACCTCTATCCATCCTTTTAACGTTTATGTTGTACGGAGCACAATCGAAATGTTTTGATTTCAATGCTAAAACCGATTCAAATTAATATACTGTTGTCACAAAATAAATTTAATCATATATTTTACGTGTAAAGTTTATTAAATTTTGAATTGCATAATAAAATATAATCTTTTTTAAGAAATAAATTTGTTCTCATAAATTTCATTTCTTTTATTCTTAAAAATTAAAATTAAAATTAAAATTAAAATTTAATATTAGAATATTGGTAAGACACAAAATGTCTTTGTACATACTACTCTTTCAAAATAATTTCTTAAAAGAAAACTAAAAGCGAAATTGAATGTCATAAACCTCATTTTCAATCCAAAATACATGTCTATTAAGTGGAAGACAGTCCTTACTTATAAATCCAAGGCCATCTCATATATTTTTGATGTGGGATCCATAATATTATCCCACTTAGTTGAATAACATCATTGTTGCAGTAATTTTCCACTCGTAAAAAAATTAAATTTACCTTGATCAAAAATTATTTTGATTCTGATATCATTTATAAAATTTATATAAAAAAGTAGATAAGTTTTACCGTCACTTGTCACGAAGCCCATATTTTTAATCTAAAATATAATATACGTATGAGGTGATAGCAAATCTTTTCTTGTAATTAAACCCAATACTCATCCCATTTCTTTTGGACGTGAGATCCATGTCATAAATTTGTTTTCTCTTTTTCATGTGAAATTTATGATATATAGATATTTAATTTTATCTAGAATAAATGAATTTTGATCAATTATTGGATTTGATTGTATGTCTTAACTTGCACTCGTTTAAATATTTTAATCAGATTTATTTTGAATTTGATTTAAATGAGTTCTGTTTTACAATCAATTATTATTGAGTTAATAAGGCCCAATCCAATTAAGACTTGGGCCAATGTCGCAAGAAGTTGCAAACCCAATAAAAAGTTTAAGTCAATTCTAGGCCTAAATGAAGTTTTGAAGGCCCAATTTCATTTAAAATTAATTACTTTAATTAATTAAAAAAAAAAAAACTAAAGTTGATCTGCCATGTCAGCAAGCTTTTCCAGGTTTTCTTTTCCTAAATTGCCTCCTTCATTTTCAGCTTTTTATTTTTTACCTAATGTTTTACCTTTTGCTGACTCCAAACATGAATTCATTAAAACCCCAAAATGCAACATTACGCACCTAGAAGTTGCAGCATCCATCGCTGCAATAAGATTCCAAAAAATCTCAATTATCAAGGGGAGATTTCGATCCTATCTATCAGAGAATTGGTTCCATAAGGAAGCTAGGAATTTATAAGAGGATGGCATTTTATTAAAACAAATCGTAGAATACCCGACGAAAAAAAATAACCCCACGACTATCTTAACCAAAAATCCCAATCCCCATCACACCCACTAACCGACCACTGTGCGTACCACTACCCTTGTCCAATACCAATTACGCTTTGCAAAACCCTAAATCAATCACCATTACACATCCTCACGACCTTCATCACCATCAATACTGTCTTTCTAGCCAAACCCAAACTATCACCTAGAATAGTCCCCCATTCTTTATAATTAACCTAGCCCCTACACTCATTTAGACCCAAAACAGAAACGAGCAACCACACCTACCATAATCAACCTTCTTTGAGCCACACAAACTTTACCAACACTATCTGAGACCCATTTTACCATCTTCATCGCTGAATTACCCCAATCCCAGCAACAATAACCCCACATTCCCCACTGAAACTACCACTTACAGCTCTTCCATCATAACTAAAAACCCATAAAAAAAACTAGAAAAATACAAAAAAAGACCCAAAAAATATAAAAGAAAAAATACAAACAAAAACAAAAAATAACACATTTCTTGGAACGGAGAACATAGCGTCGAAACACAACTAAAAGAAAGAAACCAAAAAAAAAAAAAGGAAAGAGGTTTTTGGTCGAAACTTTAAGGGTAGATCTAGGTTGCTCGAAGCATTTTTAGGCCAAACTAAGCTCGAAACCGTGTTTAGGAGGTCAAGAAGGAGATTTTGGTGCAGTTTGGGATCAAACTGGCTCTAGCGGCTGGTAGTGGAGGAAGCGACGACTACGGCAGAGGAAGAGGTGGCAACGACGCTACTACCAGATTATAGGTTTTGGGGTTTGAAGCTTAGCTGGCCATTTTTGGCTTGTTTGAGAGATGTGAAATTTTTTTTGGGAGAAGCTGTGAAATGAAGTAATCAAAAATTTTTTTAAGTTTTATAATAAAGAAAAAAATCAAAACGATGTCATATTTGAAGGTGAAGATTTGCGTGTCAACCCAACCTGACCAATGATCCGTGCACTCAACTCATGACTCGCGTCAGTCAATTGCACCAGATCGACCGATCGAATCGCCAAAGAATCAATTTGAACCGAAATGAACCAGAGAAAATCGTTCAAGGTCCTAGAAAACAGTCCCGAACCACTTGAACTGGACTGAACCACCCCATGATCATTGATTGACTCATTTTTGATAATTTTTTAAATTTTTAAATTTTTTAAATTTTTTAAATTATTTATTTATGTATGTTTATATTTTAAATCCCTAGAATAAATATATATTTTTTAGATATAAAAAAATTAGTGTTAAAAAAATCAATAAATAAAAAAAGGTAAAATGTATAAAAAATAAAAAAATAAATTAATAACATAATAATAATAATAATAATAATAATAATATAATGAAAATCCCCGAAAATGAAATATTAAAAAAGTTTGAGTAGCGATTCCTTAAAATTTTTAGGTGTGGATATTTTTCTAAAATATTAATAAAATAATGAAGTATTTAGAAAAAATTCAATACAAAGAATTTTTGTTTACTTATTTTTAAAAAAATGTAAAAATAATAATAAAAACAAAAGAATAATAATGAAAAATAATAGAAATGATGAATGAAAAATGAATCATTTTTAGTAATAAAATTTAAATATACATAAATATTATTGGTAGTAATTAATTGTTATTTTTCTTTAAAAAAAGAATAAAGAGGAAAGAAAAATAAAAATCACTGAGGATGAAATTCTTGAGAAGTTCGAGTAATGATTCTTAAGAAATCTATAGTTGAGAAAATTTCTCTTAATATTGTTAGAGTATTAAAATATTTTTAGGAATTTTTTAATATGTAAAGTTCTTATTTATTTTTTAAGTAAATGATTAAAAAAAAAGATATAAAATGATTAAAAAATAAAAAGATGTTTTTTATTGTAATAAAAGAAATTATGGAAATTTTTTTAAACATCAAAATTAAGATCTTTTTATCAAAATTATAGGATAACACATGGTTAATTGGTACCATTTTTAAAATGAGCACTATAGGGGTGTTAATTCTTCTCCAGTATAATCATACTACTAAACTTATCTTTGATTTCAAAGATTAAAATTATCTTTTTGATAAGCTTTAAATTAGTTTTAAAGTTTTATTAAAAAAATAAACTTTTTAGGTGGCAAATCTTATCTACGAAAAAATATTGGTGGCAATTTTCTCTATTTTGAAATTATTAAAATTTTCATATAGTGATCCCCAAAAC